TTAGTAAATATGTTCTTCGTCATGTTAACGTATTTATTGTCTAAGAAGAATTACACTTATTTTTTTTGTACAAATAACTATAGGATTTGCTATGACTTTTTATTATAGTTCAACTGTTACTCAAGCTTTTGCTTCGGTTCAATACATAATGACTGAAATTAATTTTGGTTTGTTAACCGATCAATTCATCGATAGTCTTAATGATGATGTTACGAAGATGACATGCAAAGAAGGGATGATCGATAATTCAATGAAAATATATAAAAAAATTATTAACAAAATATTAGTTGACGTAGTAATTTAAAAATAGGTAAACTACATGATTAATCATTTTTGTTTAAGTTTTGTATATTTTTTTTCTTACTGAATTAAAAAAATATATAGGATCATTGAGGGTTAATTGTCTTTGGACTATTAAAGGATTGTTGACGTGACACAATGAATTTATAAAATTAAAAGGATAAACTACACAGATCATCACTCAACTTTCTTCTCATTCATATTTTGCTCACTTAAATTTAAAACTTTTCAAATCAATAATTCAACTTTATACATGTGCATGCCATAATCCACTACTCAATTCTTTTGAAAGTTGTTCCATGGAAGCAGAATGAAGAGTATAGAATAGTCATGAGAAGTGATTCTCTGGATGGCGAAAATGAAAGCTGCTGCCGGCCATACTTGCAGGCCTCAAATATTTCATAGTTTCAGCATATTCTTCTATCCTGCACAGTTACGACAATGGCAATAGCCAATTACATCAAAGCATTAAGGTCTAAAATATCTTAGTTAAAATTTTTTGCTGAAATAGTATAAACATTGGCAAATATTGGCAATAGACGCTTCTGCTTTTTCATACTTGTGTCCTCCTGAACTGAAGTAACACTGCCGATGTAAAGGGTAGACAAATCAAGATTGTTAATAAGAAGTTTGAAATTCAAAGTCTTTTTCATAGGAATAACGTTCAAACCTTGCATTCAATCTGTCATGTCTGTTATGCTATGCCATCCTTTTCCATCTTCTCATTTTAGAGCTCCCCAATATATATATATATTTCGAACGATAAACAAAAAATTAGAAAGCTTTTGGAATAAATTAGATATAAAAGCATTGCTCAAGGACCTATTTGATGTTTTCGTGACCAATTTCTTATTTTTGAAACTTTAAGGGTGAAAATGAAAAATTATTTAAACATTAGTGACCATTTGTATAATTTATTCTTTTTTATTTTATAAATTCACCTTGTCACCTCAACAATCCGTTATAAAGCTAACGAAAGTTAACCCTCACTAACCACATCTTAATTAAATGAAAACAAAAGTGAGTAAATCTTAATTAAATAAAAACGAAAGTGACTAAATATTATATTTTTTTAAATTCAATGAGAAAAAATATATAAAACTTAAACCAAAGTGAGCATTCATGCAGTGTACCCTTTAAAAATTAATAAAAAAAAGTCACATCACTATAAATTAAAAAGACAATGATGGAACCAACAACTAGTTGGTCTAGTGGGATGAGGCACTAGGTCTCTTAAGTAATCTCAGGGGTTCGAATTCTGGCGTTTGCGAATGGAGCAAACTGGGTTGGGAGGGTCACCCTTGCCTCTGCAGTACCCGATCTGAATTAGTCGGTCAATAGATCGAATATCAGTGATTAATTAAAAAAAAGACAAGGATGGAGATTAAAAAACAAATATCTAAAGTTTAGTAAATAAATTGTTTTTTTTTTCTAATTTTCAATGACTAAAATGAGAGTGAATAAAATTAAGTGATCAATTTGTAATTTACATTGTACTTTAAAAATTAATCTTATTTTTCTCTCAATCTCTACTTCAGCATGAGAGTATTTTCATCAAACTTTCATCTTATGGAGCCGCCATGGTTGGTAACTTTCCATTTTATATTAAGGAGAAGAGCCTTTTTTTTACATCAATAAATGACTTATCAATTAGGTTTAGGGATGGGCTTGGTTTTTTGGTACACCCGACTATATCCGAGAATAATGAGTCTTCTACCCGAGACTCGACCCTATTCGACCAAAATAAGTTTTCACCCGACTCGATATATAACTTAAAAATCTAAATCCGACTCGATCTAAAATAATAAAAAATTGTTTTTATTCAATAAAAACGACTTAATTGAAAAAAAAATAATATATAGAGGGGTATTATTATAATTATTTCTAAATATATAAGGTAAAATTATTTTTTTTGGGTAGGGTCGGGTCGGGTATTTTTCACCCTAAACCCGAACTCGACCGAACCCGAACCTGATTTTTTTTTAAAAAAAATCTGACTCGATCGAGTCGGATCGAAACCTGTCAAGTTTGAGTCTCATGCTCATCCCTAATTAGGTTTGATGAAATAATTCATTCAAGTTTGGACCGGAGGACATTAAATGTCACATGGATTAAAGGCTGGTAAACCAGATGAACCTCATTGCGTCTAATTTCTCCATTTTATGTATGGATAAACTACTCGTATTACTATTTAATTATTGTCACTTTTTATTATAACGGTCTATTTTAAAATTTTATTAATTAAACATCTAATTATTTAAATGTTTCAATTAAAATATTTGTTATTAATTTTTAACTAAAATGATAAGATGATTGTTAAAAATTGATATAATTGTTTATTTAGATATTAATATTTATACATTTTATTAATTTAATATTTATTTGTTTTTATAGAAATAAGAACCTCGTTAAAAACTTCCCTCGTACCAATTATAAAAAAAATATTGTCTGATAGATATTTATTACGAATTATAAAAAAAGCCTCAATGAAACATCAGAACCATGTAACACCAGGAGATAAAAGCAAAACATAACCAAAATCACGTCCGAAGAAAGGGACAATCAACCAATACCCCTTTTGGCAAGAAGATCAGCATCAATGTTGCAGCTTCTCTCGATGTGGCGAACAATGACATGTTTGGAAAGAATATTATAAACAGTATCCTGGACCAAAGAAGAAAATTTAACGTGCGACGATTTAATATACGGTTAAAAAAAGACGTTATCGAAAATATTATTATTTTTTAATATTTCTAATAAAAATTTACTTAAAATATTATAATTTTTACCGAAAATATTATTATTTTTTAAAAAAGAGAAGCATATAATGACCATTTTCAAGTTATAAAAATGAGGTCAAAACAAAGAAAAGCACCATCCGACAAGCACTAATAAATTAAAATGGTTCCTCACTCCCAAACCATTGTGTTCAACAAAGATTGGACATCATTTTCTCCATGCAAATAAATTCCATAGCTTCTCAATGCCATGAAAAAACCAAAAAGTAGAAGGGAAAAAAAGTTTAATATAAAAATATCACTAAAGCATAATTAAATAATTGTTTTAGCTTTTTATTAATAGAATAATTAAATTAAAAGGATCGACTTCGTCTCTATATTACCCTTTCATATTCTTTTGTATTTTTAACATCACTAGTTAACTAATAATTTTTATAAATAAGAGGACATTTTTGTCTCATAATAAAATATTTAAAATAAAATAATAAAATAATTATTTAACCATACAGTATATATATTTAAATAGTTTAAGTGATCATTATAAGAAAACGTATACACTAATATAATTGCTTTTAACCCAAAATATTTTTAAAAAAATAATTTCTCATTTTACATGTGAGACTACTAAATCAGTTCACATTATATACTTTTATTATTATAAGAAAATAATTATAATCACACACTTTTCAAAAGAAATGGTACTTTGTTTAAAACAAGGTGATGATGGGCAACAACTGTCAGCATCTCCAGAAGGTAAACTTTGGGGCCACTGTTAAGCATTAATATTACCATCGATTTTTGCAGAGTTATTGGATTTTACTAGGACCATTATCATCATGCAGACACTGACTATACCCTCTTCGAAAGTCTCTTTCTCTCCACTTTCATCATTAATACCCCAAGCATAGAGTCATGATTGTAGTCTTCTAGGAGCATCCCAAACCTCTAGCCCTATAATGTATAGAATAAAATATTAAAACGCTCTCGATTATAAAATATTATTTTATTAAATATCTTAATTATTATATATTATAAAATAATTATTTAACTATTACTTATTATTTTGTTTAATCTTTTAATTATTAAAAATTATAAAATAATCACTTAATTATTCATTATATCTTAAACTTATTTTTTTATTAAGAAATTGATGATCGTATAAGATTATGAGATCATATTTTATCATATCACAGTTAGCAGGTTAACGTTTAACTTATAATACTGACAAATTTTTAACATAAAATGACGAGTTTAGAATATAATGAATAGTCGGATAATAGTTTTGTAACTTTTAATAGTCAATGAACTCAACAAAGCAATACTCTTTAATCGAATAATCATTTTATAACTTTTAATAGTTGAATTACTTAATAAAATAATTTTACATAATCGATGAATCATTTATATACTTTGTCCTAATATATATTTATCTAAGATGAATAAAACTCAACTCGAAAAAAATTCAAAATTTTTCTACCTTTATTAAATATCTAAAAACTAAATTCAAATGAATTTTACTCCTTTCAAAAAAAAATATTCAAGTTTAATTCGAGTTATAAAATAGAATTTAAATATCTTATAAATTTTATTAATTAGTGGATTTATTTTTAAATTTGAGTCAAATATTTTAACTTTAAATGGTATATGTATATAATATATAAAATATATGAACAAATATATATGTATATTACATGTGATTATTAAAAATTGTTTCAATTGAAATTAAATAATATAGTAATATTATAAATATTTATTATTAAATTTATACAAAAATTCAAATAACTCAAACCAGCTTGATTAAATTTGAAAAAAAAAATTATAAATTATAACTCCTCAATTTAATTAAATTATAAATTATAACTCCTCAATTTAATTATTTGACTTAACTCGATTGAATACTTACACCCTACTAAAAGATATATTTATCCAAAGTCTCCACTGTTGCCATTCAACACTCTCTAGTTGAGCATAGTGTTTCTAAGGCTGAAATTAAAGCATGAAGAGAAGCTTTCTTTTTACTGTTCTCATCATCTTTTTCATAGTCCTCATTTCCTCTTCCCATATGTCGGCTCGTTTCTCGGGAAACAAACAACGTGAGAGTTTCTTCTTAGTTCTTATATTCACCTTCCTTCTTCACTGATCACGACTAAAAGTTTTAGCATCTTCTGCAGGAGAAGAGGAGGTGGAGCTTAGTCAAATTACAGATATGGAGGGCATTGAACTAATGAATGTAAGTTCAAACTGCATCTTTTTTTCATCAACTTGATGTGCATTTGAATGTTTTTTCTAATTCTTTGCAGCAGCTAATGGGGATGGAAGCTTGTGATGAAGGAGACGATGGATGCTTGAAGAGAAGAATAATTGCAGAGGCTCACTTGGATTACATTTACACCCAGCATAATAAGCCTTGAGATTTTTCCATTTAAACAACACTTGATTCCAAGTAATTCCCCTTTTAAATGTTTGATTTGATTCTATTAGTGCTTGTTATCGTTCATAGTTTGATAATCCTAATTAATGTTGTTGAACGCTAAATCGTTTGATTTATTGTCTTTCCTTGGTATTTGCAGAAGCAAGACCTGCCTCTTTGTGTTTTATAGTTGAAATAGAAACATTGGTAAACTAAGTCTTTAGGTTATCCTACTACTCAGATGGTTCTGTATTGGTTACGGTTTAGTCACATATTGTTATAAATTAATAGTGATAGTCACTTTATAAATTAATAGTGATATTGACGTTTCGTAATATAATATCATATTATTAATAAAAAATAAAAATATCACATCAATAATTTTATTAATTTATTATCGATAAAAATAAAAGCAAAATATAATACTATGTACGATTTAAAAAAAATAAAACGATTAAAACAAAACCATATGAATAATTAAATGACTGAATCCGTACTTTATCTTAGAAAGATATAAGTTGAAGATATATGCTTTAAAATTATGGAATTTTTTAATGAATATTCAAATTTAAACTTGAATAAAATTATGAAACTTGTTATATAATTTCTGTGATAGAAGAGGGATGTTATTTTCTTAGAGATTTTGGGTTCATACAATTTAATTTATTGATCAATTTATTCAAATCAAGTAAAAATAAATTATATAATTTTGTAATACTAGTCACTCTTCACTAGAGATGCATATAGCCGGATTTAAATTCGATCTGGATCGGATAAAAATTGATCCGGTTTTTTCATTAAACCAAAAAATCGGTTTATAAAAAAATCGGTTCGGATCATAACCGGTTTGGAAGGTCGGATGATGTAACCGGTGTAACCGGTTTCGGTTTAAAAAAAATTAATTTTTTTAAAAAATCGGTTTTTAATCCGGTAAAAAATCCGGTCATCTAATTTTTGAAACTTCAGACCGAATTTTTTTCTTATCCGATTTTTTTCAAATCAAATTTTTATCCGGTTATACTATTCGGTTTTAAAATATCTAATCTGGTTTAAAAAAACCATTTTTTCTCAAATCTGATTTTGGATAATTTTTACGTAAAATCGGATATTCAGATTTTTTGTACACCTCTACTCTCCACCCACCTTAAAATTTTAGTCAAGTAGAAGACGTTGCGTACATATAACATCACTTTGGAATGAATTATAACTCAATCAACACATCATTTTAACATTATCAGTAAAGACTAATTTATACACAATTAGAACGTGTGTGGTATACGTACAATTAGTAACTGCATTGTATCGTCTAACGTGGCACAATAAATTTATGCGGGTTTAGAGTGTTACATCTAAAATCCTCTAAATGTCATAATTATAATGTATTCGGTTGTAAGATTTGTTGGACATCAGAATTTCTTTAACGATCTTCAAAATGTGTGCACTTTCAATACTCTATCGAATAAAAGAAAACCATTGATTGAGAAGTCTATTTGTAGTGTGACACATTCTAAAATATTTATGCAATCTCCACACAAAAGATGGAAGGTATATGTCTCTAATCTTTACCTCTCTACGAATGCTGAAATTAGTGTTTTGTTTTACTTAAAATCTTTAACCATCCAACAAAGATACAATCATTCTCATATTAATTTTAAATAGTTATATAAAATAGTTATTAAAAATATATTTAATAATAAAAATCATATTAATAAAATGATTTTTAATCATGTATAAAAAATATTGTAACGTGTGTCTCGTTTAATCGTTGTATTTTTATTTTTTTGTTTTATAAAATTTTAATTAAAATAAACAATATAATAATTATACGATTTTAAACAATTAAACTAAAAAATATTAATAGATATATAAAAAGTTAAATAATTATAAAAATAAATAAAAATAATTAGCATCATCTTTAGAAATTCAATGATTTTTTATTTACCAGGATCCATGTTAAATGAAAAGTGTAGATCATACAATAAAAATTAATTAAAATGAGATATTTATTTTTAAGATAAAAATATAATGACATTATATGATTAAAATAATAAAAAAAATCATAAATACTTGAAAACACAACTTTTAAATACGTTTCCCTTATTTTTATTTCAAATATTATATACTTTTTTATCCTTTTTTATGCGAAGTAGGAATTAACATTAGAGAATATTTTATACTTGCAATTCACCTGAATTATATTTTTATTTGAACATTTTGTTTTCTTAAAACATGCGGTAAGAATATTTGCAATTTTAAGAGTTTTCACTTCACATTTTTTAAAATCAGACTACGTCGCACATATAATATAGAAGAAAAATTCATGTAAAAGATTTATAAAATTTGTTTTGCAAATGATCATAGATAATATCAACAACCAATTGGTCTAGTGGGATAAGTCATTAGATCCATTAAGATTGCGAATGGAGTAAACTGGGTTGGGAGGGTCGTCATTGCCTCTGTAGTATCCGATCCGGATTAATCGATCCACGATCCTCGGCCCTCTCAACTCAATTTGATTCGAAACCCTGACATTACAAAATGATATAATACCTCATCCCACTAAACTAACTGATTATTGGTAAATGGTAATGTAACACCCTTAACATGTATATGTCCCAAAATATGAGACAAAGATGTTACACTATTCACTTTGACATTTCTTCAAAAAAAAAAAAAAAATAGAGTGAAATTTTGTTTCATTATAAACTTTCAATTTAACGATTAAAATCAATTTAATTAATCACGAAAAATCGTAAAATAATATTTTTATCATTAAATTTAAATATGATTTTAGGCAGATAGTTTGATATTGTTTCATAACCTAAATAAAACTACCTAAACACTACCTGATTTTAAAACCAATCAGTTATCATTATAAAATACTATTCATTTATACTATCAAGCATAATTAATACTAACCAAAATAAAGCAGAACTAATTTACTATTACAAACCATTCTAACTAATCTATCAGAACAACTAAACTATCATAATATACATGCAACTAAAAGTCAAAAACAACAACATAGATGCCTTAATAATAATGTGGGTAGGTAAGATATCCAAAACGATGCTCGAGAGACTCCTCACTTCACGTCATTTTTCTTATTTGAACCTACCCGTGAAAATTAACACACGCTAAATAAAACTTAGTGAGGTAGTAACACAAGTAAAGTGAGATGAAGCATAAAATATCATAATTACTTCAAAACATTAAAATATCATAAATGCCTCAAAATAATAAATGTAACTCAAATAAAATCATTGAACTTTCAAAACGATTTATTCTAGTTATTTTCTTCCTCAAAAACCTGAAAATCATTATCTCATGATTTTATCAAAATCATGTTAATCATGTAAGATACAATAATCATTTTATATTCTTTTTCTATTCAAAACACATTTCAGAACTTTCATATTTCATATTTCTTTTAAATACTTTTCAGAATTTTCACATTTATTTTCATAGCCTAATATATATGTAAAAGAATAGAAGGTACGCGAGTCGAACATAATGTGCGTACTAAGCACCAACGATGCCATCATCATCATTAGAATATGCACTCTAAGTGCAATCATATCATTTGCACAAATGTTGTCTTTCTTTAATGTACACGAATGTACTAGATCATCATCATAATTACTTAATGGCATGCAAAATATACCTATGACTCTCCATGCAACATATAATGTGCTTTCATATTATTTCATATTCATTTAACAATAAAATATTTCCAATTCAAAATCATTTTTAATTCATCATTGTAAAAATCATAACTTGGACAGTTCACACCCTAAACCATTTATAAAGCATTTATTTAAGCATTATGGAAATATCCCATAATTAACATAAAATCATTCTTTAAAAATAATGAGGTTGACTTATCGCAAGTCTTCCTCGAATAAATAAATTGCATTCACCTTTGTCTCGCTACGGACCTTCTATATGATCAGCTTTTACTCATGTACTTTTTCCTTCTCTTTCGAATCACTAGGATCACAAGGTTTGTCGTAGTCTGTACGACATCACATAAATAACACAATGTTAAAAATATATGTTAGTATTTTACTAACATAATCTAAACCCAATAATAAAATCCATAAATTATATTTAATACTTGTTGGATATAAAAATCACTTTAATATTCAATAACAACTTCAATATTTTCAACATGACTCTTCAATCCCTTATATTTCCATATTCATCACCAAACTACTCAACTTTCATAAACTTTACAATTTAGTCACCACTTATGAATTTTTTTAGAATTCATACCAACTTTTCTAATTAATTCAAAATGGTCCTTCACCACTTTATCCAATACTAAAATTTTTAGCATTAAAATAAATTATTCAATCTAGTACTTTAACATTTGCAAGCTTGTAAAACAATCCCCAAACTTTCCAACCCATTCGAATTAATCACTAAACTTTCCCAAATTTGCAATTTTGTTCCAATTCAACATTCCAACTTAAAATTCAACATTCAAGTAATGATTTCCATCATAATACATCCATAATTAAGCATTTATACTTCAATGTCCCATAATTTCCAAAACTTACAAAATAGTCCCTTTACTATCCCGATGTTTCAAATTGATCCAATTTAACTTCCAAAACATGTAGAATCATTCTAATACCATTTATAAGCTTAGGGAAAATTTTCAATATTTTTCTCTAATTTTTTCCATGGTCGAATATAATAAAGTGTATCTAGCTTGATTTTCAACTTGATTCAAACATGAATTCATCTTCTAATAGATTTTATTCATCAAACATGCTTGGCAGCTACACAGTAACATCTACTAAATCAAAAATCCATCATTAAATCATTGAAATCCAACTTGTTCTTCATCCACCCTATAACCAAACCAATGATCCAAGCAAAAAACCATGAAATATTTATACGAAAAGATAGATAATTTGTTGTAGATTAATCTATTTCACACCTTAGTCCAAAAACCTAACAAAATGGCTTTAAAATGAAAAAAATAATTTTTTTTCTTACCTTAGCTATGGAGGCCACGGTTTGGAGGAGAAAGAAGAGCAAATTTCTTTATTTTTCCATCAAAATATCATGATACACTTGTCTTAAAACTAATTAAAATGAATTTTTATGCTAAAGACCATTTTACCCTTTAAAAATCGTGATAATTGTCAAATTACCATGCCACTTTTCCATATCATCATTCAAAGTTAAATTTGAACAAAATATTCATTCTTTCTAATTTTATCCTTGTAGTTTTCTCGAATTTACAATCTAGTCACTATAATCCAATAATCTTTGTTTAACATGGAAAATCAATTTAAATCCAAAAATCCATGTTAAATTTCATTTTTCTAAATTATGGAAATAATATTTCCAACCTATTTATATCATCCTTCAAATTTTTGTAAAATTCTGGTTCGATCCAGTTATCCGAACTCTTATCAGACTTTACTGCTTTATAGCTTTTAATACAAATCCTGAATCGAAATTCTGATCCCACAAAAATGTCAATTTCTTAATAAACTATTCATTTATAGGATAAAACTTTTTTTGGGAAAATTATCACTTTGGTCTTTAAACTTTTTTTTCCCAAATTTTATACTTTGGCCACTAAACTTTTAAAATTTACATTTTTGGTCACTAACTAAAATTTAGAATATTACATGTAATTCTTAACTTTTAATTTATCTTCAATAATAACTTTAGTTATGTATTTAAAATTTATATAAAATAAAAAGAGAATATTATATATTTTTATAATAATATTCATTATCATTTTGAAAAATAATTTTTTAAATCTTTTCCTAAGTAAACTGTTATGTTATATGATATTATTACATAATTTTAAAAAGTTAACAACTTCAATTATGAGCAATCAAATTTGGTTGACTGATTAAATTATTTATTTTTGTTCCTTCATATTCTCTTATGTAATGAGTTCTAGATCAATTAAGAGTTTTCTTTTCTTCTTTTTCTTCTTCAAGAGTCTTCATTCTCCTTCCATATATGATTATGATTAGATTTAGAATTTATAAAAAAAATACTTCAATTATTATCAATAATATAAATAAAACCTAAAAAATGACTCCAGTTTAGGTTTATTTTTTCTTTTTGATTAAGCTAAGATGATTACAAATATAGTATATGTTAAACACTCGATCATCCTGCTGCAGTGGCTGGTGTTCGAACTCGTGACCACTAGAAACGACAATAATTCCTTTAACCACTAATGTAAGTTGGTTCGTGCGACTCCGATTTAAGTTTTAGTTTTATTTTTAATTTTATTGAAATCAATATAAGATGGGATATATATATAAGATCTAAGGACTAAATGCATTTTATTTTTTCACAAATTTTTAGGCACAAGTGTAAGAGAAAAATGATTAATTAAATCAATAAGGGTAGATTACACATTTAGTATATAAATTATCAGTTTTGATTCATTTAGTACCTAAACTTTTAATTTTTTTTTCAAAATCATACCTAAAATTTAGTTTTTATTTCATTTTAGTACCTATGTCCAAAATTCAACGTTAGGTTTCGAAAAAAATTTAAAAGTTTAGATACTAAAACAAATCAAAATTGATAGTTTATGTGCTAAACGCGTTTAAGTATGATTTTGAAAAAAATTAAAAGTTTAAGTACTAAAACGAATAAAAAATGATAGTTTAGTAGATATTAAAATACAATTAAATAAATAGAATACATAGGCCGTAAAAATGTAATTGTTCTAAATTTTACCAATCCATTAAATTGTTGGGTACTAAGAAAAAAAAGGAATAAACTACATAGTTCATCCTCAACTATCTTTTTACTTCTATTTTAGTTATTATAATTAAAAAAATTCAATTTAATCATTTAACTTTTGAAACTCTTATTTAGGTCACTTCACCGTTAAAAAATAAATAATGTTGTGACACGACAACTTACCCCAAAACAACATCGTTTTTTATCCCTACATAAAACCAAATTTAATTTAAAACGACATCGTTTTGGTTTTCCATAAAAATTATTTTTCCTATTTCTCATTCTTTCTTCTTTCCTTTTTTTATTCTTCTTCATCATTCTCTTTTTCTCTCTCTCAAACTAAACCAACTTGGAATTCTATGTAGCATTGGACATTATTCTGACCATTGTCAACCACAGTCTTTAAAGACGATGAGTCTCAAAATATCCCATCAAACTCACATGATTCTTTCTAAATGTGAATCCATTATTTGTTTAATTGAAAAACAACTTGAACTCCATAAATCTAGGGTTGATATTATGATCGTCGTACATCATCATGTTTTGATCACCATTTTCATTTATATCGGTGTCAAATGGAAGCTTTTCCTCTCCCTTTTTAATCCTTCAATTTAGATCTCCACGAAACCAATCCAAAAGCTATGAAATCAAATTAAAATTCAGATCAAATAGCCCAAATTTACACCTTTTTCACCATTTGATTATTATCTGATTGAGACATATTACTCTCTATTAAATGTGTCATGTTTTAATAGTTGAAATCTATGATAAGAGACCTAGAGTACTAGAATAAGATAACTTTTAGATTTAAGATTTTTAATTAGGATTTTAAGTCTTGTGATGATAAGATCGACAAGGGTTTAGTTTAAGGTCTAGGTGACTTGTGAGAGTTTTAAGGTTGGAATAATACATGTGAGGTCAATAATGGTTTGGAGTGGTCTGTGAGGATTTAGGGGTGGGACGATGTGAGATGGTCGATGAAGGTATGGGGTGATTAATTGGTCGGTTGAGATTAGATTTTGATTATTTTAATTTTATTTTCTTTTTATTTTAAATATTACATATTAATAAAAATATAATGCCATAATAAAAAAATCTTAAACTAATCCATGTCATCATAGATTTTGTAATTTAAAGGGTGGAAGGATTAAAATATGAGTAATTCGAAAATTTAGTGATTAAAATAAAAAAATTTAGACTATAGTGATCAAAGTAAGAGTGAAAATATAGTTCAGTGATAAAAGTGGTGTAATCCAAAAATAAAAATAAAACAAGGGGCAAAACGCCCAGAACCCTTGTGAAGTGATAAACCACTCTTTGAAATCCTTGAGAAAGAGCCATTTTTTCCTTCACATCCTCCGCCCTACCTTATCTTCTTCAAACTCTCTTCTCTATCTACTTCGACCCAATGTCGAATGACGAGGAACAACAGCTCACCGAGTCACAAGACCCTGAAGACGAAGATGATGACGAACAAGGGCAACAACTCACTGAGTCGCAACTGCAGTACCCAGAGTCCGATTCCGACTCCGACTCATCCTCTTCCTCCGGAGACTACATCGAAGAATCTGATTCCGAAACACTCACCTACACCCGACCCGGAGAGGGCCCCCCGGAAACCGAAATCACACCCGAAGCCAACATCCGGAGGTACACTCGGATGCTGGAGAGCAAGAGATTCAAGAGGCTCCGAGAGGAGGAAGACGAAGAGTACGTTTACTTCGAAGACTTATGGGATTTTCCTCCGGACCCCGAGCGCTGGCGGGAAGAGGATTTGCAGGAGTATTGGGTGGATGCTCCATTGGAAATGACCAAACCCGGCTGGGACCCGGTTTGGGCCGATGAGGAAGATTGGGAAATTGTTAGGGATGAGATTGAGGAGGGCCGGGACCCAGGCATTGCCCCGTTTTATGTGCCTTATAGGAAGCCTTATCCGGCTATACCGGAAGATCATTATGATATTTCCAACCCCAAAGCGGTTATTGAAGAGCTGGATAGGATTGAGGAGTTCCTCAAGTGGGTCAGCTACATTTTCCCGGATGGAAGCACGTATGTTCAAAATCTCCCTCTCTCTCTCTCACACACACACAAAAGTAGGACATGTTTGTGAAGAGTGTAAACTTAAAGAAAGATTAAGCTTTGTGATTTTCTAGATGTGAAAAATTATGGGTTTATGTGAGGAATGTGTGAATCTGTTGAAAGTTAGTCCTTTACGCCTTTCTTTTAGTCAAATAGTTTGCTTTCGATATGATTTAATTGATGAGTAATGGTATGCTTGATTCTTGTCTTGCTTTGACTTGTTTGATTACTCATTATCGTCATTCTGCATTTTAAGGTATGAAGGCACTGTTTGGGATGATTTGGCTCATGGAAAAGGTGTGTATGTTGCAGAACAGGGGCTGGTCAGGTTTGTTAATCTTTTGCTCGTCAACCTTGATTATTTGTGTTTGGTTTATCTATGTTACTGTATCTAATGCTGTTCTCAGCTTTCTTCATACGTTTGTTCTTAGTGCCATTCGCCCATTCTGCATTGATAGACCCTTAAACATGCAGATAAGATTGTGCTTTAGTTGTAGGATTCAGTGGCGTTGCCAAGCACCAAGGTGCTAGAGGAAAAACACAACTGAGACCCTTTTGGGAAAGGCACGTTAGATCTGACACATACCTGGTTGCACTTAGGTGTGCCTTCTTGTAAGGCAGTAGGTGCAACTAGAAGCTTGCCTGATTGAAGTCCTATTGAGTATGTTTCTTTTTCCATTCGCTTTCTAATAATAAAAAAAATGGAGTACTTGGAACTATATTGATGAAGAAGGGAAAAAGAAAGCTTGTATGAACCTCTCTTTAGAGTTTATTAACAGAATTATATATCTTAAGCTTGTTGTATTTACGTGCACACCATATATATAATGTGCTTCACTTGCATGCACTGTTTTGCATCTTGCTCCTTGGGCAATATAAGGGCTGTAGTGCCTTGAGTGCATCTTTTACCCTTGTTTTACAGTGGTAGGATTGAAATGATTGCATCTGCATTGTTCAACCTTGAGAGTGCTCTTTGAATATTTTGTTTTCCTCTATTTTATGGGTCCATAGTCCATACATTTGTTCCAGATTGAGCTAATCAGTTGCATCAAGTTCTTGTTACGTTTGGCGCACACAAGCACCAAGAAATACAGAAAAAGAGAGAAAATCTTATAATACGGTTCCTTTCTATAGGTATGAAGGTGAATGGCTACAAAACAACATGGAAGGTCATGGCGTTGTTCATGTTGATATACCTGATATAGAGCCAGTGCCGGGTTCCAAGTATGTAATAACTTGTGAACTACGTATAATGTGCTTATGTTATAATTATAAGTAGATTTTACAATATCAGCAATAAATTTATAAATGATATGGTGAAGTTAAATTTTTTTCCCATTTTTTTAGGCTTGAAGCAAAAATGCGAGCCGAAGGGAAAATAATATCAAGAGATTTCATGACTCCTGAAGATAAAGAATGGTTAGAGATGGATGTTGAAGATAGCATTCGTATGGCGGATGGGCAATATGAAATACCATTTTATGAGAATGATATATGGATCAAACATTTTGGGAGAAAACCGTATGTTTCTCTATCAAGTATTCTATTCCTTTCTTACTATTATCATCCTTGCATTCAAGCCTCCCCCTTTTTGTGACCATGTGCATGTTGCTTTTACGTTGAGCATTTACGTTGTACCATGCAAGGCACTTGTACCTTACTTTTTCTGCCAAACATTTGCGACTTAGCTGGCATATATCTCAGTTTATGGTGTTATGAAGACAAATATTTCTGTTTCAGGGAGAAGGGTCGATATCGCTATGCTGGGCAGTGGAAGCATGGTAGAATGCATGGGTGTGGTGTATATGAAGTCAATGAACGCACCATTTATGTATGTGCTTGAAATATAAGCCATTTTGTTTGAGGCTCAATTTATGTAATGGAATCCATTTCTTCTATGAAGATGTGGATTTGTTTGGCATAAGATTTAGTACATGTTGCTGCACCTCATGACCTCTGCTGTATAGGCCTCAGTTTTCTTCAAAATGATGCTTTCTAGTTACATAAAAATAGAAAAATAGAAAATTTATGCCATATTTTTTAAAAGAAAGATGCAATGTTTAACGTTTTAAGAGAATGCAAAACATTCATCAATCAATTTGGTTAGTCACTGATTCTTAATATATTCTTCTTTCACTCGTAGGAACCATGTCAGGTACTCAGATTCTTTTATAACAGTGCTTGACTGCTTTTGTGCTCCATAATTTGTATGGGTGCAGGGTAAATTCTATTTTGGAGAGCTATTGCAGGATTTTTATGGTTGTGATGAGAACACTTCAGCGGTATTCTAATTTTTTTTCATACTTAATAAATAGTTTTAAAATGAAGTAGAGAGGGGAAGAAATTCTGTATATGTATTTCTCTGACATTGAGTAGTCTTTCAGATGCATGCTGGTATAGCAGAGGTTGCTGCTGCCAAGGCTCGGATGTTTGTTAACAAGCCAGATGGAAGTATGTAATCTTGACTCTATTAACTATAAAATTCATATAAGTGCAGAGGCTTGTTTTCCATAATAACTCATAAGATTCTGTTCATGGAAACATGATAAATGTCTATATCTTATGTTTGACAAAGAACTGTGATAGCAGAATATGCATAACATCTATAAAATTTGACTGGTTCAGGTATGTGAGACATAGTTGCGCTTGTAATTGTTCTTACAAGAGTTTGACATGATTGACATGAGGATTTTGTCTAATAGTGTTAATCATCCGAACTAGACATGTTCAAGGTCTGAGCTACCCGTCCAATCCTGAAGGTCTGCCCAGAATTTGGGAGGGTTTGGACAAAAATGTTAGGTCCAAAAATGGTCTTAGACAAAATTATGCCCGTTTAAAGTAAGGAGCGACCAGTTTTCTATGTTTATGATTTATATCATGTAAAATTTGAATTTATTATAATATATAATACTATAAAGTATTAAAAAATATATTAAGTTCATGTATAAAAGAGTTAAAAAAACAATTTTCATAAAAGTAAAAAATGTTTATATATTTTTTAATATTAAATTAAAATAGAATAAATATTTTTTTAAAAATAAAAATAATATGGGTGGGCCATAATTGGGGTTGGGTTAGCCATTTACAGATACGGGCCGGCCTGGGCAAAACCTGAGGCCCTATTCCGGGCCAAGCATGAAGTCTGTTTAATCCCATGAATAATCCCGGTCTATAAACTCCTGTATATTGCCAACTAATGTTTCAAGCGTGTGCTAGATATTGGTTTTAGAACTATGCTCAAGTAAGTGGATAAGTCAACAGAAAGAGATGAAAACAAAAAGGAATATCTAGAGACGAATTGGGTTATAAGCATCGTTAGTAAAAGCCACTTTGAAGTTGTAGAAACATAAATTAGAAGATGAATATGAGTTATAAGTCAATGGAGCCTTCCTCTAAATCTTCTGAGTTACATAAATTAGAAGACGAATACGAGTTATCAAGTTTTTGCGTGCAAAAGGAAGCTCTTTGGAGATTTCAAGGAGCATCTTCATGATTGTTTTTTTAGGATTTGTCTTTTGGGTCCTTTGGAATATGATTTGAAGTTCTAATTTGCAGTTTGTCCTGCTGTATTTTCCTCATTGTGGAGGGCCTGCTGTATTTAAGTCTACGTGATACTTCGGAATTACTATGCCTTTTTACATTTAGTTACCAACAATTTTAAACATTAACCTTTTATGAACACAACTTTTCTCCTGGCTTGCATGTACAGTGGTTAGGGAAGAGAGGGGTCCTTATGGTGATCCTCAACACCCCTATATGTACGAGGAGGACGATGTATGGATGGCACCGGGCTTTATCAACCAGTTCTACGAAGTAAGTAAAACTTTTTCTTTTACATGGAGGATTCTTCCCACAATCATGAAAAGGGAGAGGAAATAAGTATGTTTGCTGACAGGTTCCCGATTATTGGAAGACATACGTGCATGAAGTTGATCAGGAAAGAGAAATGTGGTTAAACTCATTTTATAAAGCTCCCTTGAGATTGCCTATGCCTGCGGAGCTTGAATATTGGTGGTCAAAAGGTACTTCTTTGGTATACCCTTCAGCTCTTAGTCTATGGTGATATCAAGAGTCCTTTCATTTTCGGTTTGTTAAAATGGGTGTTGACAAGTTCTTGATCAGATGAGACTCCCGAATTTATTCTTATCAACAAAGAGCCGGAACTTGACCCTGAAGATCCATCAAAGCTAATATATACTGAAGACCCGCTCATTTTGCATACCCCAACTGGAAGATTGATCAATTACATCGAGGATGAGGAACATGGTGTTCGATTGTTTTGGCAACCACCTCTAAAAGAGGGTGAAGAGATTGATGAGAAGGAGATCCAGTTCCTACCCCTTGGATTTGATGATTTCTATGGACGGGAAGTGATTCAAAAAAGGGGTAATATATGGAAGCGTTTAATAACTGCAATAGAAAATGCGTTGAAGCCAGGATTTGTTAAACTAGAAAAGTGGACTGAAGAGAAGAAAAAAGCCAGTAAGTTGAAGATGGAGCTTATTGAAAAGGAACTTGACCATATAGAGGCTGAACTATGTTTGGAAGAAGCCATTGAGGATTTGGATGAAGAGCTAGAGAAGAAAGAGAAAGAGGAGGAGAAGAAGATGGAAATGGGTCTGTTGGAGGATGAAGAAGATCCTTCTGTGGCGTTTAACAAAGAGGATAAAGCCATTCCCAAAGATGATGTTGACAAAGGTTTCAATGAAGAGGAAGAGGATGAAGATGAGGATGAGGATGACGTTACACCTTCGAGTTTTGGATCTGTTCCTTCCGACCAGAAGGGGAAGAAGCCTAGGGAGCCACCATTTTTTTCATCTTCATTGTCATTTACTTCTTGCAGCCTTGTTTCAGCAGTAAGTTCTTATTATTCGTTTATATTTCCTCGATTTGTTCTCATTTCTGTGTAAACTTTTTGATTGCTCAAGGATTGAAAAAATTATCTATGAGGTGAAGCCTTTGCTCTTTGAATAGTCTCAACTTTACAAGGTGCATAATAAAATTCATCTGATATGCTTTTATTCCGATATCAAATTTTAACCGAACTGGCCTTTTGTTTCTTTTCTGTTTATTTTCATGATCCTTTATACTTATTAAATAGGTAGTCTTTTGGAGGTTGCCTTTTATTGTGCATTTTAATTGTTAAAATCTTTTGCTTTACAGGTTCCATCTACATTGCGAGAATCGTTTTCATCATTGAAACAGGTTAAATTACCTCAAAAATCCCATCCTCCCTCATGTGTGGAAAACTCCGATGAGCCCGTGAAAATGATCGGTTCGGTCAGTTTCCCTCCGGTGCTAGGCCAGAAAGGAAGGTTGAGAGCATTTAAACAAGATCATCAGAAGTTTCAACCGCAAAGTCGATCTAGTGGAAAGAAGTCTCATTTACACTCCTTATGTAAGATCTTATCATGTCCTTCAACCACTACGAGAAGCCATCTGAGACAGCCCCGGAATCTTGACCATTTTGAGCTGCGTGCTGCACCGGAGAAATATTCCGACAATATTTTATCTTTGCATATTCCGGTTCGTTATTTGGAAACCTACGGAGATACAACAAGGTATTGAGCCTCATTGTAGGAACTTGAATGATCGCACCTACTAGGGCCGGTCTTTTGTTGAGGTTGCATTTGATTGTTTTTTGGGAAATCTTTGTTTCAATATGCACTTGGTTTTATTTTTTTAATGAAATCAAAGTCAAAACATTGAAAAAGCATTTTTGATTCATTTTTTTATATGCAAACACTGAAAAAGCTAAGATGATCAACAAAGTCTCGTCTGGCTTTTTTCTTGGATGCTCTGATTCTTATATTTTGCAGGAGTATAAGAAACATGAATGCATGTTTCTTTTGGGCAATTGAGATTTTTGGAGTGAATGATCAACTTCATTACGTTTGGTTCTGTTTAATGGGAAATTCTCCGACCATGAGTGTGAAGTGATTTTTTTTAAGTGAATTACATAAATAATCGAGTAAGTTTTTTTTTCTATTAAAGTTTTGAAAATAATAAAATGTCTATCGAAAAGTAATAAAACACTTATTGTGTCGTTAACAATGTATTGCTTCTTTTTCTTAATCTCACATCCATTATCTCAATTTCCAATAATTCTCCATTCATTGTTGTCCTTCATGATGTCAATTTTTTCTTGATTAGTGACTTATAATTGTACTTTCATGTAGTAAAAAATCTCGCTTCCCAACTATTTTTGTCATTATCTTGTCTATAATCTTGTCAAGCATTGTAATAATATTCTTGTACCTTGCCTCAATAATACTCAAATTAAAAGACTTGTACAAATTATTGTCCATTGTATTTGACTTGACGTGCAGTTTTTGAAAAACCTTGGTTCACATTTTCTCTTTTTCCCTAAACAATTCATTAGCAAGTATGGAATCAATCTTTGATAGTGCATCTTTGTTCTCCTTCAATTTTCTCAGTCGTGAACTTGACAACTTTTCAAAAGCAAAATTGATATGCTTTTGTTCTCTTCCTTCCAGTCCGATTCGCAAACACGTGTCTAGCATAATCATTATATTCTACTTGTGGTAGGACATCATTTATAACAATCTCAATACATTGTCAAACAAAATATAAATAAATTGAGATACAAAATAAAATTTCATCATTATGTATATTAAATGTAAAAATCAAAGTTTACCTTGTGTTGGTCACTGATGATGGTGCAGTCAAATCCATCATACAATCCAAGTCTGTTGTGATTAGACTTAGAAACCAATACTAAGAATCTATGACTCAGATGGTTGACTTTGACTAAAAAGTAATTTTTTTTGAAAAATCATATTTTATATTTTTCGACGTCCATAGTCCGAATTTGCAGTCCGTTTTACCAAATTCTAACCCAAAAGCCCTCAAATCGAGCATTACAATTCGAGCATACATATGTATTTAATTATTTTATTTAAGTGTATTTAATTGAAGGTCAATGACTTATTTATGTTATTGTTTATTGAAGATACTCAAGACTCCCCCAATTGCCCTTCAGTTCATTCCAGCTCCTCCCGATCAGTTCGACCACACAAGCCTGCAGTTACCCGTATGATTATTATAAACTCTATGATATTTAGGATTAAATAATTACTTAATTAGTAACCTTGTTCTGTTATGGATTAGGTTCGAGAACTGCTGTAGATTGTGGCGAGACCGGTGTTCAGTAGACTTTCCGGTCTGAATTTCGTTTTGTGAGGTGTGTTACTTAGGTGTTGTATGACATGTTTTGCATGTTTTATAATTTAATTGATTTATATGTTATGAAATTTAATTATTTATCTGATTAATATCCTAATTTCTTGATTTATCAATTACATTGTGTTATCTGATACATGTTCTCTTATTTATCTATTTTACTAAGACAATTATTTATAAATGTTTTGTGGAATTCTAGACTTCTATATACTATCTGAAACTACTTTATTAGGGTACTGTTAGGTAGGTGTCTTGAGATTTTGAGCAGGGTCGACCTAATACATGTGCCAGATGGGTCTTAGCACAGGGCAGCATGTTTGAGGGGGCATCAGACTGCCAGGGTTATAATAAAACATTCGTGAAATACAAAGGCTAAATAATAAATATGCATGTTTTGACTCGGGGACCAAAATATATTAATTTAAAAACAAACATGACTCCCTCAGTAATAAACTCATTCGCCCGACTATGAAATACCCTGGACCCCTATTAAACGACACCGTTTTATTAAAGTTAAATAACACCTTAAATTAAACAAAACCTAATTTCTGCCACACTCAACCTATTCCAGCGCCGCGCTGCTCGCCCTTCTTCTCTTCCTCACCCTCGCATGGCCGAAAGCAATGGCTCCTCAAGCCAGATAAAATCCGACCGGCCACCATATTTTGGTGGCCACTCTTCACTCCGTTCACTGCCAATGACAGCCCGAGGGTCCAAACGACTCCGTAATCGACCTAAACCGCTCGAAACGATTCTCCTAACCTCTCATCTTCTCGACTGAATAACCCCCAAACCCATGGACGCCATTTGCTAACCGTAGATCGGTGAAGCTCCACCTCTTGACCACCATCCACGACAACGGATCAAACCCAAAGCCGCTCCTAAAACAAACCTGATCGATCACACCTTCACTCCCGACAATAGCCCCGACGCTCGGCCAAGGTAAGTTCTCTCTTTTCTTTTTGCTTCCATTTTTTTTGTTTTTCACTCGAACTGATCCCCTCTCCCTGTTTTTTATTCTTTAGACTTAGTTTTGTTTCAAAAATTTTATAAAGCTTAATATCATCCACAACAAAACCCGTACAGAGTATGGATGGAACCAACAAGACCCTTTTTGTGTTTCGAACTGCCCAGGTAAATCCCCCAATCCCTCGTAAATTTGGGTTTTAAATAACAATCGTATACACACAAAAAACGAAAAAAATGAACTGGAAAATAAAGAAATCGAAGAAGAATTTTTCGAAATACATGTACCACTATAGCTTTCTCTATTTTTGAATTTGAGATTACACCATTGTTCCTTTTCGTATCCCCTTTTACACTGTGAAATTGCAGATCCTTCTTCTTTTGTTGATCTTTCTATGTTTGGTTGATTTCTGGTTCTCTAGTCGATCGTTTCTGTTTTTCTCTTTTTTTCAGATTCCGACAATTGGAGCAACAACTTGACAAGGATTGTGGTCCCATTCCGACATGAACAAACAATGTTGATGTTCTGTAGGCCTTTAACTTATCTGTCTTTGCTCTTTTCTCAAATCGAGTATTGTACATTTGTACTAGGGAATATCTGTAGATGCCGGGGCGTAAACCAGCCTTTTAATGCCCTCCATACCAAAATTTAGGTTCAAATTGGCCCTTTTATTTGACTACTTGGTTTAACTGGGTATTTGTATTTGGCTTATTGGATCAAATAGGTTAAACAAGTACCGAATTAAACGAAGAAGCATTCATGTGACAATGTTAAAGGGACGTTTTTTACTATATGCTTTAAAATTTCACTGCTCGATAAGGATAGCAGCGGAGTGATGAACGTTGCTCGTTGTAGGCTTTTGCAAAGTCTTTATCGTAAAATAATAGAGGTTTTTGCTTCAAAAAATGCACGAAGGCATCGTTTTAGGTGATATTTGTAGCCTTGTAGGTTTTGGTTTGTATTAGTATTGATATTGTTTGATTATAATTTCTATTACATTTTTGTTTTAAAAAAAATATTTATGTTTTGTCTATTATACGGTACAAGTATAGGGGCATAAAATTATTATTTCGCCCAGGGCATTAAAACTCATTGGATTGGCCCTGACTTTGAGGTTCAGCTAGTTGGTAAATCCTTTATGTTCTAGTCATTTTTGTTGGACTCCTATATCAATCAAGTATATGGTAAGTCCTTACGAGTACAGTTATGGAGAATTATATGTTGGTGTAAGGGTGGAGAGTAGTTATCCATCTAAATAAACCTACTAATACTTTTATAGTACTTTTTTGAACTATTTTTGAACTCTTCTGTATGTTTTATATCGCACTTATTGGAACACATTGAGCTTCCTAGTTCACTCCCCTAACTTTTCCCCTTTCAAATACTTTTAGTTATATATCCCGGACCAAACACTTGGAGGATCGACACATTTTGTATTGTACTTTCATTGTAATGTTTTCATCTTCTGAACTACTTTTATTTTGATGACATGTGCCCGTATATTGATATTTTGGTTTTACGACATCTTATGTTATTCTTGATGTATGAATTTATATGATATTTGTTATTTGATATTCAATACTTGTGACTTTATGTTGTTTTCTATTTTAAGAATTGGTTTCGATAGTATTATTTTGGATCTATAAATGTTTTTGAAAATATTTTAGAAATTTGTAATGCGATTCGCTAGATCTAGACGTAACGTATAGACTGAGTTTAGAGGGTTACATTTAGTTTGTATCAGAGCTTTTATTTTTAAAACCTAAAACCGTGAATAGGTCTAAATACATGTCACTAAGGTTTTATAAGTTTAACTGTGTACGGTATTCCAAGTGTCATATCTAATTTCAAGTTCTTATCCTTGTGTAGTTAGCCTCGAGATCCATTGTTATAAGTGCTAGAAGGGTCGTCGACTACCCCGTGTGTGAGGTCGGTATGTTATATTCGTTGATCCGATTGAGGACCCACCGCTGCCAGTATGTTCTCCCGCTCCTTCTGGCTCGTCAGTTGTTAGAGATCAATCGCCTGTTCTTGGGGTTGATATGATGACACCTGTTAGAGGAGTGCGGGACTATGTCTATAGGAGTTGTTTTGGACGAGACATTGAGTAGACAATTTCTATAGTTGATTCAGTGTGCAGTTAGAGCAGCGAGTGTCACACTCGAAGTTCCAATCTCTCAAGCTCTGATTTTTAATGTGATTCGAACATTTGCGGCTCTACAGTTAATCTCATCAATACTATCTCATAGTTTATAATTACATTAATAATTGAAAACGTAGTTTTATGGATAGGAAATGTTTATGATTACGTTGATAATTGAAGACGAAATTTTATGGATAAGAAAGGTTGAATATTCAGGAAGGATAAAAGATTCATTCATCAGCAGCCATTCCAAAAGATAAACTTCCTTTTGGCCAATCATTTCCCATAAGAGATTCTCCATCTTCTTTCCCACTTGCTTACGTCTTTTTCTTCCCATCATAATATTGCAATTATCAACCTCCCATTAAGTATTAGACTGCTCGAGAATTGTTCTATTATTTGG